TTCTTCCCCTGTTCCTTCCTTTCCCTTCCTTTCCCTTCCCTTCCCTTCCCTTCCCTTCCCTTCCTTTCCCTTCATTTTGTTTGTTTAGGGGGGGTTGTTATTAGATGGGGTTTTATTCCTCACCTCAGAGTAATCTTGAAGAGGAGGATCAAGAGCTCCACAACCATCTACTGCCTCCAAAGTCTGATCAACTATATCTACTCTCTCCCTAATACATTCCTCTCCCCTATCCTTAAAAGCGTTGAACAATGGGGTTTCCAGTGCTCCATCTGTTGCTTGGAACAACCATGGGCCTGGAAAATGTTCTCCAGCTTCTGAGCTGAAACTTCCTTGTTTCCATCCAAGCTGATTCCTTTTTGTCACATCCTCAGACATGATGAACAATTCATTATAATCCTCTTCAGAACAATCACTGTCAGGGTTGCATCTTCCCACTTGCTTGTTTCCCCTCTTCTAAATTAAACCTTGGGGGGGGGGGGGGGGTTGCCTCTTAAATAATGATTTCTTAGCTGTTACCCTTAATGTATCATTTACATTATGATCTTAAGGTCCTTTCCAACCCTAACTATTCTATGATTGTATGATTATATGCTTAGTTTATAATTCTGAGGAATAGAGCCTTCACTGGACACCGTGCTACATCAAAGGCTTCCCAACAGGTAACGCAGAAGAATGAGTCCTCTCTGCTCACCCACCCATTCACTTGTGATATCACCCATCCTCAAGTGATACTTTCTGTTGATATGATATTCTTATGTATCATATAAATCATTCTTAAATGATATGGACAGGACTTGGAAGAAGTCAAACACTTATCACTGATTGCTTTTGCTGGAATTTTTCTCCTGTTTTTCCCGTGAAGGTCCACCTCATCTGAAGATCCAACAGCTCTGCAGAGATAAGCCAGTAGAGCATCCTGCTGCTCCCCATTGCAGTCTACAACAGCCTCACAGCAAAGGTCCCTTGCCAACCCTCTGCTCTGAGCTCAGTCTGTGATCCAAAGGCACACTTTGGCAGTGCCACAAATGGGAGGCAGGATGGTGTGTTGGCTCAGGAGGCCTCTAGACACAAGTGTCTGCTCTTCCTTTTTACTGATAAATACCCCCCCCAGTTTGTTAACTGCTGTGTGACCTGCATGTATGCAGCTTATTTCATCTGGGTCCTGGTACATGAGTGTCCACATCACAGAAGCCATCCCAGATGGTGCTTATGTTGTTTCCCTCATTGGAAAAGCCAAAGACACAGCAGGAGTGAAAACTGAGCTGCTTTTTTACACCTTTAAACCAGCCCTTCCAGATGGTGCTAGGAACAGTATAAGGTAGACATGGGGGTCTCAGCTGCGCTCAGGGCTCTACATCATGTTCACAAAGGGCAGTTCTCTGTCTGGTGTGGACAATCTGGCAGGTCCTTGCTGCTACTTTAATATTAGCTTTTAATATAAGGGAAACAAATTCTGAACAGCTCAGGACACAACTAGAGAAAACAGTGGGTGGCCTTCATAAACTCCTGGTTCTTGCTAGACAGGATGCGCGGGCCAGTGCTTTTCCATAAGTCACAGCACAGTGGATGGGAAATAAAGTTACTCTTGTAAACAAGAAACACAGTGCAAAGTATGGGGGAAATGTTGTTAAAATACAGGCTAATGCTTATTTAGTCATTTTCTGTTCTGTGCTTGATTTTCTTCAGCTAAAAGCTGTGATTTTCTTCTCATGAAGCCAAAAATTCAAGACAGTCTGACAGTGACAATGTGTTTTTCTCAGGGAAAAATCTGGGTGAAGACTTCAAGACGTGGTCTCTGCTTTAAAGCATGATTCCTATATCTCAGTCCAATGTTGATGCTGTTGACTTCAGTCCATCCTGCCTTTCAGGTATGACAGCTTTGGCCGCCTGACCAATGTGACCTTCCCTACTGGCCAAGTGAGCAGCTTCCGCAGCGATACCGACAGTTCCGTGCACGTCCAGGTGGAAACCTCCAGCAAGGATGATGTTACAATAACAACCAATTTGTCAGCATCAGGAGCATTCTACACCCTGCTCCAAGGTGAGTTTGACCACTGTCCGTCTCCCAGCCAAGCTGGACATAATGGATTATCCATCTTGGGGTTCCCAACATAACAAGGACGTGGAGCTGCTGGAGCGAGGCCAGAGGAGGCCCCGGAGCTGCGGCGAGGACTGGAGCAGCTCTGCTCTGGAGGCAGGCTGAAAGAGCTGGGCTGGGGCAGCTGGAGAAGAGAAGGCTCCTCAAGGGGACACCTTAGAGCAGCTCCAGGGCCTAAAGGGGCTCCAGGAAACCTGGAGAGGGGCTTTGGACAAGGGATGTAGGGACAGGACAAGGGGAATGGCTTGAACCTGCCAGAGGGGAGATTGAGATGAGCTCTTGGGCAGAAGCTCTTCCCTGTGAGGGTGCTGAGGCGCTGGCACAGGGTGCCCAGAGAAGCTGTGGCTGCCCCATCCCTGGCAGTGTTCAAGGCCAGGTTGGACACAGGGGCTTGGAGCAACCTGCTCTAGTGGAAGGTGTCCCTGCCTGTGGCAGGGGGTTGGGACTGGAGGAGCTTTAAGGTCCCTTCCAACACAAACCAGTCTGGGATTATGTGATCAGGAAACAGGCATCATCTTGACAATGCCAGCACAAAAACTCACCTGTCTCACCTGCCTGCTCAGCACCCCTACATGCTGGTGCAGATGCACACTCACACCTACTTGGCCACATTCCCTCACTCTGTAGTTGCTCTGCAGTTGTTCTCTGCTTCATTCTCAGCTGGTTGCCTTTGCCGTGTAGTCCTCCATCATCATCACCATTCTTGTTATAACAAATAGGGTTGCATAAATCTAGCTGCACTTCCAGCTGACCCCTTTGCTTCATTCTCTTAATGGCTTCCAACTTAGCAGTTACTCTCATCCTGGAACAGGCTTCCAGCTGGATGCTGGGATCTCTGTGATTCTTGGTTCCCTGGCTATTCAAGTATTCACAAGGAAGCATCCAGAAAAATAACCATCTCTGTCCTCAAAAGACCTGTGTTTGAGCTAAAGGGCTGGTGTGGAGAGGCACAAAGGAGAAAGAGGTGGGCAGCCAGGGTAGGACTGGTGGGACCAGTTTGTGGCTGTTGGAAATGATCACAGTTCTGCTGGTGATGGTAAAGTGGGGAAGTGGAGGACTGATGAGGTGGAGGAAAAGTGATGAAGTGGGAAATAAAAGAGGAATTAATAGCAGGGGGAAAATGTGCTGAAATACTGGTAGGAGCAGGAGTTGTAGTGCACAAGCCACAAGTTCTGAAGGCTCCTTAGGGTCAGGGTGAGCCATCACTCCTGTTCCCTGGGGCTTGGAGAAAGGGAAGAGACTTTCAGACTGCTTTCTTCACTCCCCAGCTCTCATTCACTCTTAGCCTGTGCCTGATGGCAGTGGGTTGTCAAACATCATTTCCCCTTGTGAGGAACGGAGTGCTCCAAGTGAGACCAATGTGTTCCAGAGTCACATTTGTTCCCACATCACTGACATACCCCTCCCCTCTCTCTTTTCCTAAAAGCAAGTGCCTGCTGTGCCTGAACACTTCTTTTCCTGCCTCTGGAGAGGGCAGCATGAGAGCGTGCCAGCCCCTTCAAGCCATCCTCACTATTCCTGGAGGGAACACAATGTCTTTCTTACTCTTTACTTCTAGCCTGCAAAGCAGATCCAACCTCTACCCTGCCCCATCCATCCACTCACATTAAGACGTCTGGCAACTGCACAGGCATGAGGTTGGCTTCACCTCAAGAGCCTAATTAAGCAATAGAGCCCACTGTTGTGGGCTCTTTAGAGACATAATTGACTGTGATGTGATTTATACACCCGGAGCTGAAGGCACAGTTAGATAATGGTGCCACAGTCAATTACCTCATTGTACTGCCCTCCAGCACAGGGCCACTCTTACCATCAGCACATGTGGTATTACAAACAGCTTAACTATCTTTAGAAGTATATAATTATGGAAATGCTTGGATCTAAAGAAACTCACTTATCTTAAAATGAAGATCTGGATAGCAATGCAGCAGAGGTGGCCTGTGACCTGCTGAGGCTGACTTTCCCACAGGCATTAGAGACTGTGAATTCCCAAACTAGGGTAGCTGTTTGTTCATGGCAGTGCTGTAGAAACTGAAGCAAAGTTGCCCAGGGAAGTACTGAGCACAGCTGAAATGTAATTTGCCTTCCAAGTGCTTCTCCAGGGATGGAGCTGGAGCCATTCTAAAGGTCTGTGAGTGTCTTGCCCTCCCCGTTGTTCTTCAAGCAAGGTGCTCGCGCATTTTCCTTCTGGACTCACAGCTCTGTCCAGCTTTCCCAAATCCTTGGTGAACCTCTCAGGAATCCCGGATCACACTGTGAATGAGTGAGATCTGAGAAGGCGTTTTCAGAAGGTTATGGATTTCTGTAGGATGGATTTAGGAGCCTCTGCAGCTCACAGGCACCTCAGCACATCTGTGGGATTTTGTCCTCTGGACCAGTGACAAAGCGAGCATTTGTTCAAGGCCAAAATAGGGCCTTAGAACCAAAGCAGCATAAAATACCACATCCCGTGGCCCCTGGATTTCATGTAGCCCTTAAAAAATGGCTTCCAAAGCCAGGCAAGAGTCTTCTCTTGGGATAATGTTGGAAGTAGAGGGTTTAAATACCCCACGCTGTACCACACTGCTGGTGACAATCCACCATAACCCCTCTGTGCTGCTTATGTGACACAAAGGGAACATCACATGTCCAGTGAATTTCATGGTGACCTTCAAGCTTTCCCATTTCCTGGAAGGGATATATTAACTGTGCAGAGATTTTTCACTGATTTGATGTAAACTGCATCTGCTACCACTTTCTCACCCAACCAAGCATCTGAGAAGTGTGACAGCCCCTCCTCTCCATTTGCAGAACCAAGCATGGAGTGGGTTTGATCCTGCTGGAGTCTGTCAAAAGACTATCAATCAATCAACTTCACTACTCAGTGGTATAGCTACAATACTTGGATCTACACTATGGGTCACTGCTGTATGTTTGTAGTGGCAAAATCCAGTGCCACCACAGTTTGACACTATTACTACTGTATACAGTGAGTTGTGGTCCTGCTGAGATCAGTGTGGCAAGACTCCAGCTGGCTACAACAGGAGCAGGAGCAGACTCACTATAGGAAAAAACCAACTGGTTTCAGGTTTCCTTTCCTAAAGATACCAAACTGTGCTCTTTGCTGATCTGTTTTGTCCAGATGAGAGCTGATAATACCACTATGATCTCGTTTCCTGCTGTGCTATGGCAGAGCAAGTAGTGAACAAACCCCAAATTGCTTCAGAATGGAAAAACAATTGACATGAATTTTTAATGGGTATTTTTAGTCACAATTAGGTACTTATGGCAGCCTGGGAGACAGAAACGGTAATATTTTCCATCTTTTGAGGAGCTTCAGATAAGGCAGTCTTTGTATAATGTGCTTTTAAAGCCATTCCGCACTGAGCAAGCCTCATGCTTTCTTACCCTTCGTGGGCTCCTCTCTGCGGAAAGAAATGCCAGCTGGAGGTTCAAAGGATGGGCTTTCAGCCTGCCTCATTCCTGAAGGATGTGGAAAAGATAAAGTTCTTCTCTTCCGCTCCCGAAGTCCCAAATCCTGGCCACAAATTCTGCTGATCTTTCATGAGCTAGCGGAGGCCAGTTGTACGAAGATGTGTGCAAGCTTAGTGCCTCTGCTTTCTCTCCAAACACGAGGACTTTGGTTGCCTCCTGAAAGCTTTCCCAAGTGAAAGGGTTTGGCTGTTGTTTGGGGAACTGGCGAGCATTAACTCTCTGTGCAATTTCCTGTCACTGGTGAGACAAGGAGGTGGCCCCATTTTTTCATCTCTTGTGGTGGAATTGGGATCTTGAGGATATAAAAATGTGGAAAGTTTTCATCCGGACTGTGATTTAAAACACATATCTCACCACCCAGTGGTTTAGCCTAGAGGAAGAGGTCTGAAGCTGTGTCCTTTGCTAGGGTGTTACATGGATTTTATATTGGTGCCTTTTTTAACTTGTCTAAGATCTTGCTGTAAATTTTGAGGTGCAGAACCTCATCAGAATGAAAATGGGGTTGTCCATCACTGATGAAACCAATGTTCTGTTCACTGTGAATGGGATAGGTGAGTGACAAAGTGCATTTGATGGCAACCATCAGAAATGCTGATGAAGCCCGGGTAAGGGGGCAAATGAAAAGCTGGGGCTCTATCATTGGGTTTCAAAAGATCTCTCTTCTGTCTTCAGACCAAGTTCGAAACAGCTACTACATCGGTGCTGATGGCTCTCTCAGGCTGATGCTCGCTAATGGCATGGAGGTGGCCCTGCAAACAGAGCCACATCTGCTGGCTGGCACAGTCAACCCCACGGTGGGGAAGAGGAATGTCACCCTGCCCATCGACAACGGCCTCAATCTCGTGGAGTGGAGGCAGAGGAAGGAGCAAGCGAGAGGGCAGGTCACCGTCTTTGGACGTCGGCTGAGGGTAAGTGAGAAGCGTTTTGGATTTCACTTCCCACCTCATCAGTTCCCAGTCTCGTGACAGAAAGGGACATGGCTTGTGTTACCTGCAATAAGGATGAGGCTGCAGGACACAGAACTACCTGTTCACTGTCAGTGATACAGCCTTTATGACTTGAATATATCTTTCTGTGCTGATGTTCTCTTAGCCATCACAGGTAGGATTGCTGATTTGCCTACAAGTCCTCTGCACCACTGAGAATGTGTGACCTCCCATAACTTGATGGTTAACCACAAGTTAACCTCTGGTCCAACCACAGGTTTAACCATCGTGTCAGGCTGTTGAAGCAAGCAAGGGACGATCATAACTATAAAATACTGCACCAATTAGTAGAAGTATTTTCTAACCTTACTGCTAGCAGTAATTAACCTGAGCACCAAAAGCTTTCTAAGCATGAGGATAGACTGAGAGAGCTGGACTTGTTCAGCCTGGAAAAGAGAAGGCTTCTTAAAGGGAAAAAGGGAGTTTTAACATCCCTTCCAATCCAAACCCTTCTATGATTATGTTTCATTGGGAAGCCTCAGAATAATGTCTGGATTCCTGATGCTTGCTGATGTGTTGAACTTGAGCTGGGCTTGCAGGGCAGTGCATCACAATTGTCATTGCTCCCCGAAGTGTTACAAACAGCTCCAGCCTGATGGTCCTTTCAGCGCTTGAGACTGATGTGTTTTGAAAACCTTGTTCCACACAACGCACCACAGGGCTGGTTAAAGATCTCCCCCTGCTAACTGCTTGGCAGGGCTGGTAACTTGTCATAGAAAGTCCTGTGCACTCACCCTGCTCCTTGCTACTCTCAGTCATGGGCTGATGAGCGGTTCCTGGGAAGCTGCTCAGCACCTGGCAAATTCAGACCCCTCAGAGGAAGATGCTTAGTGCTGTGCAATGCCACCACAGCAAAAGGACTGCAGCTGTTCAGTTGCATTTCAGCTCTGCAAGCAGATATTAACCATAAAATCATAGAATGGTTAGGGTTAATGCTCCGGTTTCTGGATATATGTTTCCTTGTCCTTGCTCTTCACCTCTCCCAGTTCCCTGCTGCATGACCCCTGCCTTCTTGGTGTGATTTCTCCCACCTCTCCTCACTCACACTTGTCAAGTATTGCTCTTCGCCCTCCCCAGCCCAGCCTCTGCTTTTTTCCCCTTGTTTCAACAACCTCGTTTTTTGCTATCACGAGAAAACAGTAGTGAAAGCTGAAGCTGGTCCTTCAGTGGGAACTGCTGCATACCTGCAGATCCCTTTGGTTTGGTTTGTCTTGGGTATTTTAATTCTCTTTCATTTTAAGAACCAATGAAATGATCAGGCAGGTCTTCTGCTGAAAGGAGAGACTCTTCTGAAATTTGTCACAGCTATTGGGTGTTCAAAGCAGTTTCCATTCATTTAGCCACAGCTCAGCTGCCCATGTCAGTTTTATCTTCCCAAATTCTCACAGTAGATTCAAATGCAGAATGTGTCTTTGTTTTATATTGTACTGCACTTGGAAAAACACTTGCAAAATGAGTTTTCAGGCTGGTTACTGATGTCCCTATAAATCTGCCAGCATTTATTCACATTTTGAGCCTATCGAGACCCTTCTAGTGAAGCAGAGCATCTTACATGGTTGAAGGACTCAGTTATGCCTCTGTTCAGGGGTTCAAAACAGCTGAGGGTGTACAAGATGTTTTAAGCTGCCTGTCTGTACCTGCATGGCAGCATCTGCACCCCTAAGACATAAACCTGCAAGGTGCTAATTGCCTCCTTAGGGATTGCCTGACATTTAACATTCTCTGTGTGTCATGTTCTCCTCTTCCCTCATCCCAGTAATTGCTGCTTTCCCTGGCAAGGGAGAAGCTGAGGGAAATTAAGTTCAACATATTTTTGTTCATTTGGGGAAATGTTATCATTTTCAGCCATATGTGAGTAAATCACTGCTTTCCCTCTCCCCTCATCCCCACTGCTCGCATGAGACAGCAGCAAAGACATGATGCTCCATGGGGAAAGAACATGCTTGAAGAGGCTGCATTCTGTGAAGCCTTTGAGATGAGGAGAACAGGATCTGGTCACTATGAAATAGGGAGTTCCCCTGAAACCAGCATCCTTCGTTCTGCCATCACATGGATCCATATTTTATGAGCTGTGGCCCTTCCTCCCATGGTTGTAGGGTATTCCTGGGGACTGGTGACCTCTCGCCATGAGCTCAACCAGCACCCAGCATGATCAGACCAGTTTCACAGCTGCCTTCTTGACCCTCCCTAGAAAATAATACCTATGCTGCTTTATTGCAGGGGTAAGGCACAGGGCAAGGACTTCTGCATGGATGAAGGGAAAGACCTTTTTTCCAGTTCCACCAATCCCAGCCTGGCTCAGCACTTGGACAGGCAGCTGTAAAGCAGCACAAACATGTTAAAGCAGCCCCTTTCCCTTCTCCTATCCCACACACCCCATGGAAAGTTTTGATACTCTGATCCACCCACCCAGCAGTGAGATATCTCCTAAACTGTCCAGCTACAAATTCAACCCATCACTGGCCAACAGCAACACAGAGTCCATCTGCAGTGAGAGCGTTCAGCTCCAAGGAACAGAGCTCCTTCCTTTTAAACAAACTTGACTTTTCCAGTGAGGAAGGATATAAAATAATCTCTGACAATGGAGTAAATAGGACAGCTGAAAGAGAACTGCTGACTCAGCTCTTTTATTCCTTTAACCATAGAAACTCCTGTTGTAAGTCACTTTGTTTTTCCCAAGACCTTGGTAGCCAATTAATGGTGGCATCAAGAATTAGTGTCCCAGACACTCTCCAGGACCGACGTGACCAGAGAGGGATGTGCTGCTACCACTCCTGGTGTGTTGACTAATGAGGACAGCCCAGCATCATCTGCACAAGGTGTTGAGGCCTGGAGATGCTCACCCCAATGGTTTTAGCAGTTCACTGAGGAAATTGCTTTGTAGGCAACCATTTATCACATGGATGTTGTTGGCTCCGGGAGTTCTCATTGCAGAAGTACTGTTTGCCCTCCTCTGCTGAAGGTTGCCAGAGTGTTTTCAAGAGAAATCTTCCCTTTCTGTGCCCTTGTGCTCCCAGGGAGATCAGTGCATGTTGTTTAATTATCATTTAAGCTAAAGGAGCTCCATAGGAAGCACTGGAGAACTCAGAGATGGTGGTGTGATTATGCTCTTGCTTTTCCAGAGCAAGCTAAGGGACTGAATGAAGTACTGTGGAACATGAGCCTGGGGTTAAATTTAGTCTCTTGCACATTATAGAGGGATATCAAATACGCTGTGAACTGTGGATTTAGATTTACCCTGCCTCAATCCTGTGCTGATCACAAGCCTTGTCAAACGCTCTGAGGGGCAAAAGCATTTTGCAGGAGCTTTTCAGACCCTATTCCAGGTTAAGGACTCGGATGTAGCACCTTATTTAGCAGGTCACCATAACACATGGTTATTGGACTGAAGCCTGCAGCCCTTTCAGTTCTTCTGCAGAAAATTCCCTTCTATTCAGGACATGCCATTGAACAAGGGTGAAAAAGATTTAGGCGCTGTTCAGAGGATATCCAGCAGACCTTATAGCAGCCTTCCAGTATCTGAAGGGGGCCTACAAGGATGCTGGGGAGGGACTCTTCATTAGGGACTGTAGTGGTAGGACAAGGGATAATGGCTTTAAACTTAAACAGGGGAACTTTAGGTGAGATATAAGGAAGACGTTCTTCACAGTGAGGGTGGTGAGGCACTGGAATAGGTTGCCCAAGGAAGTTGTGAATGCTCCAACTTTGGAGGTGTTCAAGGCCAGGCTGGACAGAGCCTTGGGTGACATAGTTTAGTGTGTGGTGTCCCTGCTCATGGCAGGGGGGTTGGAACTAGATGATCTTAAGGTCCTTTCCAACCCTAATTATTCTATGATTCTATGTTGCCCATCACCTTGAGGGGTGGCTGTTGGCATTGCAGCATTTCTGGGAAGGAAGAGACATTGCGCCAAGAAAGCAGGAGAAAACAAATCATTAAAAACTCATGAAAAGGAAGATTGGTTCCAACTAGTCCTGCAGAAATCACTTGCTAGAGCATGGGGAGAGTGGAATGACTTAGGGCACCAGTAATGGGATACAGAGATTTGGACTGAACCTAAGAGCCATCCGGGGACCTGTTACTTGGTCCTTCCAGCAGACAGAATGGCACTGCTGCTGGCACACGGGTCAGGGGACCACTTTCAGCCTGGATGACAATCCCAACCCTGGAAGAGCTATTTCCAGCTCTCTCGGCAGAGACCAGGAGCAGAAGAAGCTGCAGCTGCTGGGCTGGAGCTGCACTGTGAATGGGAGGAAGACAGACATGCTATTCCTTCCTGCTTTGCTTTTTTTGCAAGCAATTGCCACTTCTGTTTCCCTATTTATGGCAGCAAGCACCTACAAGATACCAAAATGCTCTTAGTTCTATGTGTGCATCTGTACTTAGAGTCTTGATAGCTTTGTAGTTATTTTCCAGCTCACCTGTTACAGCGGGCTGGTGGCTGATTCCTTCTTCCATCACAAATATACATTCTATTTTACACATATTTAATTAGAATATTATCTATTTTCCACAACACTTCTTCCCTCGAGTCATAGCCGCCTTCTACCATTGTTACTCATTAATTGAAAATCACTGTTGCACTTGCCTCCTCTTACATCATCCTCATAATTACATCATGGCACTGATTTCCCAGCTCCTGAGGTGCCTTCTTTTGAATTCCAATGCTGTGGTGTCTCTAAGCTTCAGCACAGACATAGAATCATAGAATAGTCAGGATTGGAAAGGACTGTCTACCCACACAGCACAAAAGCACTGCAGTGGTCCTGCCTCTCCCTCTCCTGTTCCTTTAGGGCCAAGGAACCCCTTCTTTGTTCTACCTCATCCTTTCTCTTGCTGTGTAGCTCTCAGATACTCCCACGTCCCTCAGAAATATAGTGGGAATTCAATCATACACCCTAAAGCCATGGCTAAGATCAAAGCCAAACCAGGGCTGAGAACAGTGCTCAGGTAAGGAGTGTTGGCTTTACCCAGAGGGGCAGTAAGGCAGTGTTTTTAACTTGGTCTGAAGACCTTGCAGCAAGCAGCAAACTCTGGTTTATTGACTGCAGCTAAAAGGCTGCAAAGGGAGTTTGAAACTCATCCAGGAAGAATCTACACCTTTCTAGAAAAGACAGGTTCAGTAGCTGAAAGAGGTTTAAAAGTGGTGGGATGGCAAAAGAGCTGCCTTCACTGGCAAGCTCATACTGGGAATGTGGGGTTTTCATCCTTGCTGCTGTGGTGATGTTTCTTTGTGAGTCTCCTTGCACACAAGTTTTGTGTTATCAGATTCTTTTTCTTTTGCTGTGTGCTACAGTCCCTGAATCAGAATGTATTCCTGCTCCTAGCTTTGAAGTGGATACCTTTGATCTTTGGAAATGCAGAGGCAGTGGAGGTAACAGGAGTGTAATTATCCAACACCAAATAACCCCAGGACAATGAAGCTGAAACTCCAGCTCTCACACAAAAGTTCCTGCTCTGTGTAATATCCACAGTGGTCAAGGCCTCCATACTTCATCTCAGGGGAAAGACTCAACTTCCACTGCCTGCAGTATATTCTCTGTGTATATGAACTCAGAGAAAAACTCTGATTTCCACTATGTTGACAACATCCATCTTCTTTCTACAAGTATTATTTCTGATGTGCATGACAGCAAGACTATATAACCTAGGTTTGATAAGCAGAGTACCTCACAAATATTCCTTGCAACAAGTTGTCACTGTATCTTCTGTAGGTCTATAATCACATCTGCTGTAGCAGTTCTAAGCCTAGGTTTGGGATATGAGCAATATTCCCTCACCATGGGTGATGTTTTGGAAGTACTGTTTTTCTGCCTCTCTCCTCACTGAAGTCAACAGAAGCAGTGTAGGATAAGTCTTCCTTTGAAAATTGCCTCTTATCCAGGGGCAGTGAACAGATGGATGCTCACCAGTGTGGTCTAAAGAGGTGTTTGGTGAAGAAAAGGGTGGTCTTTGTAACTTAAACTCTTTCCAGCTTCCTAATTCTCCATCTCTTTCCTGTAGGTTCACAACAGAAACCTGCTGTCCCTCGACTTTGACCGTGTGACAAGGACAGAGAAGATCTATGATGACCACCGCAAGTTCACGCTCCGCATCCTCTACGACCAGGCGGGGAGGCCCAGCCTCTGGTCACCCAGCAGCAGACTGAATGGGGTCAATGTCACCTATTCCCCAGGAGGACACATTGCAGGGATTCAGAGGGGCACAATGTCAGAAAGGATGGAGTATGATCAGTCTGGCAGGATTACATCCAGGATCTTTGCTGATGGCAAATCATGGAGCTACACTTACTTGGAGAAGGTAAGAATCCTCTTATCTCTCAGAGATGGTGTGTTTGGTGCAAATGGGCTTTACTCCTTTGACTTTAGTAGAGCTCTGCTCCTTCACATTAGCTGATTTATGGTTCTTATGGTCCAGTATTCCTCTTCTGCCTACACTAAGGTGCACATAGTAACTTTGATGCCAGACCACGAAAGAGCAGTTGAAATTAGCCTGTGAAGTTTCTTCCTAGTCACACTGAGAGCTTGTCTTAATGCTGTGAAGCTTTGGCATTCGATTTTTTAAGCACGACATTCCTTTGTTGAGCTAACTGCAATATAAAATATCTCCAGCTGAAGTCAGAGGAGTGAACAGTAGGAATTTCCAAGAGGATTTTCCACGTCAAAACAACCTGTACAATCTGACATCCTGCCTTCTTTGAGGGGCCCATTCCT